GTATGCTTCCTCCACTCGTATGTCAGTTTTACATTAATGAACCCACAACCCGGTCTCTCGGTTGTCACTTCATCTGGCCTTGTGTTGGCTTCTGGCGAACCAGGCACTCCAGCGTCGTGGCTAGACCGCGAAGTGCGTCCAATGATACGTCTCCATGTACTCATCCTTGAGGTTGGTTCAGTAGATCGCTCCGTCCGTAGCCACATAGGCGTTGGTCAAGTACGTGTTCATTTAACTGACCTCAATGACAATGCACCTATCTTTCTTGTGCCATTTCGTGGCCTGGCAGTTGGCTATCAGACAGTTCTCTGTCTCGACGATGCAATAACGTCTCTTAGTTCTGGACCTCTATCTGGTGTTTTGCCTTCCAACTTGCTCGATAAGAACAATATTGAAAGTTCTCTGACAATAAGCAGAGCAGAATCCAATGGCAAGCAGCTCGGAATTGACTGCACACAAGCGGCAAGCTTTAAAGTGAGTCGATGAATCGTTTACATTAGTTTTAGATCTATATACCTGCCTATGTTCCCCATTACCTGTTAAATTCATTATTATCAGCACTCGTAATTGCTGACTCTGTCTCCCAATTTTTTGGAATAATAATAACTCATTATTTCTTCCTGGATTGTCACTGCTGCTATTAACATGCTAAAATTTAAGAAATTGGCTTCTATATTTAATTCGATTTTGACGATCCATTTACGAAATCTTAAACTAGTCCTATTAGAAATTTATTAAGTCGCTATAAGTATGCTTGATTCCTGTGACGGAAGCTTGTGTAATCATATTGAAGAATCCCTTAGTCTACATCATGACGGTATTTCCATCAATTTGTACATCATGTCACGCGTTAGCTAAGCGATACAGTTAATTCGCGGACTAGGATTAGTTCTTAAACTAATCTCGATTTTCGTGTAAACTTTATGAATAATAACTAATAAATAATAATATGCGTTCCTCTAAGTCTTCCTACCAATATGACCGAGTTGCGAAAACAAGGCCAAACTACTTTTATGAATAATAGATATGAAGGCCAAGCTATTGTGACCTTTATTTAAGTCGCAGTCTCCTTTCACTATGGTCTGACCTCGTTCTCGCAACTTGTTCGTATTGTTAGGATGACCTAGTTGGATTTACCTAATTCGAAGTTTTTTGCTTAAGTAGTTATGATAATTCCCATATTTGAATCATAGCATTGGTACATTCCAGGACATTTTGCCATCATCGTGGTCGCCATCATCAGTGATTCTTCTAATTTTTATCAATATATTGGCGAAACAGGGAGAAAAATCAGCATACGAATCAAGGAACTCCAAAAAATGCATGGAAATGAATACTGAAGGATCAAGAATATCTAAGCATATTGCACAGTATGGATCCGATATACATAGGAAGGTAACAGAAGGAAAGACCTTATACAGAGAAGACAGAAAAAAACGGAAGATTCTCGAGGCCATCTGTATAATTACTAAGAGAAATTTAATAGACGTGAGATTGGAAGAATGCAGATTTACTGATACCTCTAACTCGGAGCAAACAAGGATACCCCCAGCCAAGCAAAAAGGGGATACCTGGATTTAAGACCTATCTTATCTTATCTATCTTATTTTATCTATTAATGATAAAATGTACACGAAAATCGCGATTAATTTAAGGACTAGTCCTAGTTTGCGAATTAACTGTGTCGCCTAGCTAACGCCTGACCTATCGTTAGCCAGAGGGAAAGAGATAACTATGGAGATGCGAATGAAAAACATTGGGAAATCAAGAGCAGACGTTTTCAATTAGTGAAGTCTGTTTGAAAAAACAATATCACCTTTACGGGTATGGCTATCATATGAAATAGGTGGCGGATATTCAAAGCCGTCACACGAGATGTGGTAGGTGTGATAATGCCTCATTTCGCTCTCCACTTCCTGAGGAGTTTAAGATACATAAGTCAGAAATTGTTATAGTAAGGGAGTGAAATATAAGGGTAGGGAGTAGGTAGATGTATCAGGACGAGTGATCAATCAATTGTTTGGCAAAAAGTTGATCAACCACTAGGATGCCGGCGATGCGTCTGGAAATATACAAATTTCTTGGTCCAGCACTGGGGGTTATCATAACTACTAGAGCAGAGGACTTCGGACAAGGTGTGTTTAGCTAGGTCAATATTACAACACTACCAAGTTGCGAAAACAAGGTTAGACCACTTTTGTAATACAGTTGCAAATCGCTGTCAATGCATATTCACATTGCGGATAATTAATTTTTTCAATGAGTTTTGCCTCTTCCAGATTATTCTTTCTAACAACTCTTGGGTTATGACGCCTTAACAACTCTTTTTAGATTTAATCCTTAAACTTTTTTAAACATTCTAAATTATAATCCTACTTATTTCATTTGCAGATATAAAGAAATGCTAGGTTTTGAGAAATCCTTTGATAAATTAATGTTAGTGTACTTTTCATTTGCAATTGTTAGATTGGTTTTTTAAACTGAATGGTTTGCAAACTAAATAACCCTTGTA